CCTCCAAGATCTTCCTGAAGCGGACGACGAAGGTAACCCATCATTCACTGCGTCAGTAAATGTCAGCAAAGGCGTCCACTGCTCGTGCCTCGTTCCCCGAGTTAACACAGACTAACTTGGGCCGCAAAGATGTTGGGCGTACAAGATTCTGACGGCGACACATTGGAATTATATTTTTGTTTATAATTAGCAGTTTCTATTATCCAGAGCTTATCTCCTAGCGTTTCACTTTTTAAACCAAAATTACATTGATTTAAACTATTTTATTAAAATATTTAAATAGATTTACGATGTGACGCTGTCAATTTCGTGTTTACATTTTTTTATATTGGGGAATTCCCACAACGTCATTCATTGTCGGAGCAAGTGCTAAATTTGGTGTGGGCGAGCTATCTTCCGTAAGTCTACCAAGTACACGATGAACTTTTTTTAATTTAATTTCTCTTGTAAAGTAATTCGATATTGGTTTACAGACCCAGGTGCCTAAAGTTGCAGAGTAGCAGCCGCTCTTTTTTCAGAAGGTTTTAAATTGTTTGGAATGAAATTTAACATTAGAACACTTTTAAATAACCGTACACCTCAACAAAGATTTATAGATATCTCTTGTTTGTCTGTGTTTTTGTGGGTGCTAATCTCTAAAGCGACTTAATAATTTGGATTTAGTATTCATTAATTTTATGTAATAGTCTTAATATTTTAGTAAATGTTAAGACTATCACATAAAATTAACGATAGTTCGTTATCTCAATCATTACAAGAGATTAGAAAATGAAAAAGACAGTTGTGACGTTTTAGATAGCGTGATAATTTGCACCCGTTAATTTAAGTAACAAGTATCTACATCGAGCACATGTTAAGAAAAACTTGTTGGACAGACGGAAAAGCTTACAGGACTTTTATCAACGGTGTGAAGTCAAACCACTAATTTTTAAATATTGGCAACTTGTATATTTCTGGGCGCTAATCTTAGAAATTACTTAATCTATTTAAGTCGCTTAACATTTAAGGACAGTTTTAATTTTCTGTTAACCATCGTCGTCGTCGTCGTCGTCGCCGCCACCTCTTGTTTCAACAAAACCCGATGTATTCTTGGAATTTAAAATTTGTAGGAGACAGGTTTGTAAGGAAACACCTTATTTCTTCGTATTTAACGAATTCTCTAATTAACTTTTTTATTTAAAATTGTTTTATCATCGTCTTCCATCTTTGTTGTTTCTGCGCAGTCAAATTCCTCCTTTACATTTAAAAAAAGCAACCAAGAAAAATAAAACCACATAGAATAATGACTGATACAATTCTACCTATATCAATTCCAGCTTTGCTGAAATGACGAAAATAGGCTTCAATTATTGGGTTCTTAAAGGTGGTTTGAAAATTATTTTGAGCAACCGTTAGCTAAATTTCATACTTTGCCATCGATCGTTACTTGGACTTTCTGTTAACGATGTACTTATTTGACTTGCTAAAGAGACGTAATTCTGATATCCGGGAGCTTAGCCTACTAATTTTGAATTTGTATAATACATAGTATAAACATGTTTACATGGAGATTTCTGTTAATTTCATTTATTATGAGAGTTTTGTTATTCTTCTGTAAAAATAGATATTAGAGACACTAGTCTTGAAATTTTGTACTTATAAAAACTATTTAAAATAAATTAGGTTATATTGTATACCTCAATAAGGTTTAATTTAAACTTCCCAAGAAACGCCTAGTAATTAATTAAGTGCATAAGGTTACTTTAAGTTAGCGTAACTTATCTCCAAATGTAATTTTGATGTAAAATAAATTTGTTTATTATTTCACTTTATAAACAATCGTGTGTGCTTCATTTCTTACCAGCTTCCAAAATACCTCTACATTAATGCATACATATATTCATACCTCTTCATATATTAATAATAATAGACTAGTTAGGTATTAGTAAGATTTATCTAACTGAGGAGTGTAACCTTTTTGCCGTGTATGTATAACTTTTGTGCCTACCTATACCTTTAGAATTTGATTTTTTCTCGCAGGGCTGTTTTTTTAATTTAATCATCCCCTAAGCTTAATAAGCGCCAAAAAGATGTTGTAAGTGTAAGGTTTTATTATTAAAATTAGGGTTGTTCAAAAATATGCGGTTTGCTGAAATCCTATATAACAAAGAAGTGTGGTTTACGCTTTATTACACAACAATATTAAGTTTATACCTACGAAAGTTATAAATTGTTATTATTCCCATTCCTATAAAATTCTTCGAGAACATTATGTTTATAGGTATATTATTATAGGGTATTTATTCTTAATAAAACAATAATTTAACACCGATGCTTTTATTTATTGAATAAAACTTAAAAGCTATTACAACAATTAGATCAGAAGCAATCGTAAAATGGATAAATATTGTTATACTAGAGAGATATTCATTACATTACGTAGATTATTATATAAGGTAAACGTTTAGTTTCCTTCAAGATATTATGTTTGATTTTTTTAAGCATGCTTACATCTAATAAAATTGAATCATATCTTTGATATCGATTAATTTTACTAACATTTATTTTACAACATCAATATATAGTGAAATGATTTTGATTATTTAATAAGGACGAATGTAGCACCCAGGGACGCAGGTGTTGCAGACGGCAGAGAGCATGTTGTGGATGCAGCGGCGCAGCAGCAGGTCCGCCGGCGGCACCTCGTGATCGTTGCCGAAGTCCATCATCAAGTTCGGCAGAGGGCAGAAGCATGGCTCCCCGTACAAGACTGTAATAAAATACTATATAACAACCTCGCCTAATTTTTAATCTTCATCATGCATCTGCCGTTGTCTCTACGGACGGTCAGTAAAGAAAGTACTTTTGCTTAACTGATAACTTGAAATACTGATATTAAAATTGCAATTTTTATACTCACTGACGCGGTTTTGGTAGTACCGGGGAGGGTAGTACTCTTGGCCGCGAGGCGGAATCTCCAAATCTCCCAGCGCAATATTGCTATGAAAAAAAAAAACATGGTAAAAGAAAAGCAAATAAATATATAAGTAATTACGTTCGCCCTTTTTTCAACCTATTACCAAAAGTATTAACTTAGTAGTCATCTACGTAAAAACAGAAATCTACCGATGCAAGATTCCAATTTTCTAAGCCCGGTAGCTTGTAAACTGATTTTTCGGTTACCTTTATTGTTTGTGTTCGCAATATCTTCTAAACTATTAGTTCGATTTTAATACTGTAAAAGACAATTTTATTCTACATTAAATTCTCCTGGTAACAAAGGCATTTATTTGAATAAGGATTACTATTGAAACCAATAAAAGAACGCCGCAAATAGCGTGCGGTTTTTAATTCATTTTGTAAACAAAAAAGTCGTTATTGTAAGAAAATAGTTAAAGATAAATATATACTATGGACTTTTCTGTAGAACTTTTTGAGATCTACAATTCTTTTATACTTCATTTTTATACACCTAGAACGGTTTGGGCAGCGTAATCCGAGAAATATAGCATATGCTACTCACATATAAATACCTTTCTGAATTTTTAAAATAGGCCCCGTAGTTTTTGAGTTATTTCAATATATACAAAATAAAAATCTTTCCTCTTTATAATATTGGTATAGATATAGATATAGATAGTATAGATAAGTATAGATATAGATTAATTACAACAATAGGTACTGTTCAGGCGGAGATGGCTGGTTGGCATTGCGTCCCCGGTTGTGCTCGCGCAGGTGCATCTGGTCGCGCATGCGGTATTGGATGGGGTTGCGCACATGTAGGTACTCGCGCACTACATGGTAGTCGCGCACAAGATGGTAGTCACGCAGTTGTTGGTAGTCACGCACTTGGTGGTAGTGGCGCACATGGTAGTTGCGCACATATTGGAAGTCGCGCACTTGACGGTAGTCGCGCACTTGAC